GCTGGTGAAGTCAAAGATAAAACCAATCTACAGCTTCTACAATAGCCATCACTGAACTGCTTGCAGAACTTGCCTGGACACATTGTGAGCTCACCTGTATGCATTTTGAACTATCTGTTGGTGCAGCGACTTGTGGTAGTGTTGGGGTATTTTTGCTGATGATGTCACCGGTGGTACAATTTTTCAAAGGAGCCCTCAATTGGCTTAATGTCATGGCATTTTGCATCCTCCTCTACTAGTGATGGTCTAAAATTTGGGGGCCAACAGAGGTGAGGCAAAGAACCTCACCCCCCCACTGGTGCAAAGGCCTATCCACAAGTATAGCTGTATGCTGGACCGGTAGTCAGTGACGGGTATGATCCAATTGCAGTGGTACCAACCTAAGACAGGAGGCTGACGCCTAGAGGTCAGTTCATCCGATGACGGGTAAGGACCATATGTTGAATTGGACTGCCTAACAGACACGGTCCCTAAGCCACATGCTTGTTGTTTAAACAGAGAGGGGGAGATGTTGAGAGCCACAGCCGAAGGGGCCCCAGCAAACTTCCAGCTGCCAGCAATCCAGCTGCCGGCTGATGATTGGCTCACAGCGGCCCCAGCAACATCTAGCTGATTGGCTCCTCTGCGGTGATGCTCATTGGACTGTTTCCCTGCCCTTTCAGACCACGGAGCTGCTCATTGGGGGACTTTTTTGGCTCCGCCCACGTGACCCAGCCAATCGGCCTCAAGAGCAGGAGGATTGTGGGAGGTGGGGAGAAGCTTGTGGGGGGAGAGAGAGGCTTGTAAAAAGCCGGTGGTGGCAGTTGAGGCTCTGAGGGGTTTTCCTGAGGAGCTGTGTGGTTTGGTGTGTGGTTCTAAAAATAAAGTTAGTTTCTTTTGACAAGTGGCTTCTGATTGTGCCCAGCCAGACTGCGGCATTTGGTGGCCCGTACGGGGATCGAACCCGCGACCTTGGCGTTATCAGCACCATGCAAATGAGTTATCCACCTGCAAATGAGCCTGTTACTCTATATCCAGAACCAAACAAGAAACCTGATGTTGTTGCTCTCTCTTCAAAAGTAATTTGACTTATCTCTCATTTTTAGTTTTTATGTAACTGCTTTTACTTCAGTAATTGACTATACTTTGGCTCCAATTAAAGCTCAATGGAACTATAATTCTTAAGATAGTATTTTGTAAATAAAGATGGTTTAAGTAGGAATAAAAAAAAAAAGCCATTTCCAAAACCATTCTAAATCTTTCATAAAACACCTCGATATGACTTTCTGATAACAAAAAAGGTGAATTACAATGGCAATTAGAAGACATTTTCCTTTAAATTTCTGGCAAAAATCCTAGAAATGTTGCTTGAAAGTGTAGGATTAGAGTTATTACAATACATTTGAATCACATTCCAAATAAGTGGAATGATCCAGGGAAAATATGGGTGAAGTGAACTATATTTAATTTTTTAAATTTCCATTTCTTTTTGAGAAGGGGTCTCACTATATTGCCTAGCACTCCAGTGATCCTCCTGAGTAGCTGGGATGCAGGTGCCACCACCCACCTAGCTAGGAATGCTGCTTAAGATGTGCAACAGGAAGTGGCCTTTTGGAGCATTCCCATTCTTCTAACCTCCATACACTCTACTTTCTTGCTAAAAACATGGCCCAGTGATAGAACGAGTCTGGTCCAGCCAGAGGGTTCTAATAGTTCCGATCAAAAGGAAATGGTAGTTAATCATAGAATCTTAAGAATTCCCAGCAGCTCCTGTAAGTGGAATACGCTCAACTCTCAGCAGAACACGGTTTACTCACGGTGGCGAAGGTCGAATAGAAGAGTTTCTTCTCCAACTTATTTCCTTCTGTTAATGTCATTTCAAAGGCTAGAAGAGAAACCCGATGGTCATGAACTCAGATGCTACATGTGGGAACACAGAGTGTCCATGTAGTGCTTGTGGACCCAATAGAAACCTGACTCAGTAGTGCCAGGAGGCCCAGCCCTGTGCAGGCCTCCCCTGGTTCAGCTCATGCCTCCCTGTGCACATACGGCCCCAGCTGAACAAACTGCTCTCCCAGGTCTTTTGAATGTCCCTCAATGGTGGCAGAAGAAACTGAAGGAAAGCCAAAAGGACAAGTTGTCCAACTGTGTACATCTGAGTGGCCGAGGAACCCAAAGCACAGAGAAACGATAAGGAGGAAAATCAGGAGAGAGTGAGCAGACACCAGCAGTGTCGTATGCTCTGGGCCTCATTCCAGGCCTTTCTTTTCAGTGGAGGACACAGGTGTGCCGCTGTCTAAACACCTGGAGAGAAGTGCCTTCAGCTGTGATCCTGCCCAAGGTCTCAGCTCCCCCAAACCCTCACATGGCTGCTCCTTGAACTAGCACATCTGCCTAAGGATAACAGCAACCCTGGAGGCAAGTTCTCTCTGGAGGTGGTATCAGGTTCACAGAGGCTGGGGGACTTCCTGGGCCACATCTCCTGCAATGGGCTGACTCTAACAAGCCACCATAGTGAGGCAGAGGCCGTCTCACTCTGAATGCCAAGATGGACTGTTACATTCAGGTTCAAGCAGTTCTGTGGAGGGCAGTCAGACTGCTTTGCCAGCAGAGAGAGAACCAAGTGTCCAGACCAAGGAGAGTGTGAAGTCTGCCTGAGGCTCACACGGATGCTCTTGGGGTCAGCCTGTGCTGAGAGGAACCGTGCAGCCTGGGCTCAGGAGGAGAAAACAGGGCTTCCCGAAAGCCACAGACCAGCTGAGCATGGGGACCAGGCTCCTTTCTTGGCCTCTTCCTTCCATATCTGGCACTGTGTCACCATCACCTTCCAGGCCTGGCCCTGTTCTCGAGCCCTGGTACAAAGGTACACTTAGAACATCTCCACAGCCTGAGAGACTAGGAGTCAGCACTCTAATGGCAGAATCACTGTCCTGAAAACCCTTCTATTGCTGCCCAGGACAGGCTGATCTGTGCTGTGTGGAGCCTTACATCTGCGTTGCTACGGCCTGGGACCCTTCACTCTTCCTGCAGAACCTACCTGCATTCACAGATTCCTTGGCCATGGCTGCTATAATTTTGGAATTGCTGGCAATTTTTTCTGCACATTGGATGGCTTCTTCAACCAGTGTCTCAACAGGAAAAATCTTGCTCACAAGACCTACAACAAAAAAGGAGGTAAGTGAAGTGCAGATCTGGCACAAGTCCACTGCTCGAGTCCACAGATGCCCAGTCATGCTGCCTACAGCATCAAACAGCAGAGAGAGGAGGAAGGTGAACTGTGGCCACCAATGGCAGGGAAAGGGCTGGCCTGCAAGGGTCTAGATTCCCACAGCCTATTTGGTTCTATAGGAAATGGGATGCTGTGCTATTCCTCCTCAACCTGAGAGTATGTTGTCACTCTCTTGAACATAGAATATTTCAAGATCTAAACCCCAAAATAGTCAACCTCCCAGATTCTCAGGATCTAAAAGCTCTGGTGCCAATTACCCCCAGGACACCTGGGCCAATCTCTACCCAGCTCCCGAGGGTAGAACCACATCACCTGCTTGCTTGGCATCCTGAGCTGAGATGCGGTCACCAGTGAGGACCATCTCCATTGCCAGGGACTTGCCGACTGCACGGGTAAGTCTCTGAGTGCCCCCTGCACCTGCAGGGATAGAGACTGCGTATTGTAGCTGGCTACATGACACATGAGGTCAAAAAAAAAAAAAAAAAAGAGAGAGAGAGAGAGAGAGAGAAGAAACCACAGACATGCTGCTTACCAGTTTATGCTGAAGATAAGGCCTAAGATGAGTTCTAGCCAGGGGTCAGGCAGAACCAAGTGGTCAGCAGGTGGAACAAAAAGGGCTCAGAACCTCAGGGCAGGCCCCTTTCCAAGCTCAGGCCCCCAATTTTAGGATAGTGGATTCTCCTCAGGTTTTTACCAACATTCTAGGAACTTCCAGCTTTCCCTCACTCCATGTGCTAGATCCTTAGCAATTGCTGCCCTATCCAAGAAAGACCCTGAAAATTCATGAACCTTGTAGCACAAAACCTCAGAAACTGCCTGGCTGAACCCAAAGGGCAGTGGAAGGCTCTTGGGAGTATGCCTGATCCCCCTGAGGTCTGCTCCCACCCCCAGATCTACCAGTGGACCCCTGCACATAGATAGAGTTGCTCTTTGCCCAATACCCCAGCTCCCTCCTAGGCAGGGGATGATGGGGATCTAGACACCTGCATGTGCTGAACTTGGTAAAGCCATGTGACCTGCCTCAACCAATGACATGGGAATGGACAGGCTGGGGTCACACTGGTCAGACCTCCTGGCATCAGTGCGAGATCACTGTTTTCTTTCCAAGGTTTCTGACCTATAGGGATCCGCCTCAAGTATGGATTACAAGCAGGAAAGAACCACTGTGGCTGGGGGCCAGAGTCACGTGATCTGATGTCACCAGAAGTAGGATATGGTTGTAACCACAGGAACCAAGCTGTGTTCTGAGCTGTTATGTCCACTCTGTTCTTCATGTGCTGGTCCACAAATAGAGCACGAATCAGACCTGGGGCTGTCTTTCTGGGGCTTTTGGTTGGATGCAAGCTGTAGGCCCCAAGGCATAGCTAGCCTTGAAGAATTACCTTCAGAGTGCCTGCTAAAGCTACTGTGTTCTCACCTGGGATGGTCCCCAGAAGGATTTCCGGCTGTCCAAACTGGGCTTTCTCGCCGGCGTAGATGATATCACACATCATAGCAAGCTCACAGCCCCCACCAAGCTGCAAGATAGTGTTCAGCAGTTTTTCCAGGGAAGTCCAGTCCAAAAACCAAAGTCTGCTCGCTCTGCTCATTGGGAGGGCAGACTCTTCTGCAAAGTGTGGACAGTAAGTATTCTCAGTTCTGAGGACACTGAGGTCTGCCATAGTGGCTCAAAAGCAGCCACAGAGGATGTGGATGTGGAGGACGTGGCACATATGCAAGGGGACTTCATTAAATTACACCATGTGAAATGACTGTATGGCTTCCCCAATCCACGCCAGGGGCCCTGATACATCCAGTAGAGGATGTGATGCCTTCGCAGGTACAGCATAGGTCTGATTACATTGTATTAATACAGAAAAATCCATTAACACATTTGGAAAGAACCAGTAGCTGAGCATTCACAAAACAAAGTGGATGCAAAAGATTCCTATTCCTCATTCAGCATTACCAGCAGAAAGGGATTGCTAGCCTGCAAGCCACACACAAGGCCTTTCTAAGATAAGGATCCTGCATGCTCCCTCTCACAAGCAGAACCCATCAACCACCCCAGGAGCAGATCCTTGATGTCCACACTCACAGCATAACCATTGACAGCAGCAATGACTGGCTTCTTGACCCGAGTTAGCTGGTCCCAGTGGCTCAAGAACTTGCTAGAGTAACAGTCCTGGAATGTCCGGCTCTGCATTTCCTTGATGTCAGCTCCAGCTAGGAGTGGAAAAGAGGCAGCAAAGATCCCACCAGTCCTATAAACCCCAAACCCACAAGTAGTTATCCCATGGACTATGTCAGGCTCTGGGAACAGCAAGGAGCAGCCAATACTGAGATGCCTATTGTGACCAGATAATGCAGAAAGGTCACAGGGCAGGCAACAGATGCCTGGTGGACTCAAGAGAAGGAGTCTTGTTTATCAGCACTTAATCTGGCTGGTAAAGACCTGAGTCGCTCTGAATATGCTGCCTTCTGCTGATGAAACACACTTGAACGTCCAAGAGTGCTGTTCATCTAAGCAGCTCATTTGGGTAGATCCTAAGACACCTGCCAACACTGAGAGGCCAGTCTGTCTTGCCACTTTCCACAGGCCATAAGCACCCCTCCCATCTGCCACCACTGCTGCCAGCACACCTGCAAATGCCTTATCTCCACCAGTAAGCACGATGGCGCCCACAGTGGGGTCTTCCTCAAAGGTCTCTAGTGCCTGGTTGAGTTCCTCCATCAAGCCGTTGCAAAGGGCATTGAGTGCTTTGGGGCGGTTCAATCGGATCAACCCCACGTTGCTATTCTTCCCCTTTTTTTCTGTGATGATGTACTCAAAGTTAGCCCCTAGGGCAAGAGAGCAAAAGGAGATCTCTGTCACACAGGTGTCAAAGGTAGGGACACAGAGGTACTCAGCCTGCAGCCCCCACCACTCTGCTTGAATCCTTAAGTTAAAGAAAATCCCCAGCACAGAACACAGCTGTCCCCTCTGTTATGCCTGGTCAGTCTTCCCTGGCATCAAGGAGAGGAAAATGCCTTTTCACAACGAATGCCCACCAGAGGACAGCAGGACAGGGCTCTGGTCATACAGGGTAGACAGGCTGGCAGGAGGAAGACAGAGACAAAGGACAGAGGGGCAGCTAGCTCAGACTTGGAGGGAGCAGAGAGAAGGACAGCCTGATAAGGGGCATCTATATGTTGAGTGGTCAGTCCTCTTACACAGAACCTGTCCCATGAACATGCAGGTGAATGACTAAAATATCCTGGAGTGTCCTTTTGTGTGTGTGGTGCTGGGGATGGAAGCCAGGGTCTTGTGCATCTAAGTAAGTACTTAACCACTGAGCTGCACCTAGTCCTTGGGTGTGAATGTTGAGCAGCAATGTGTCTGCCATTAAGAAACCCAGGAATTTCTGCCAACCCCAGGCTGGGGTGCAGAAGTGAACAGGCAAGAACTGGGGGTGCAGCCAACTACTATTCACCACTGGATAGTTAGTTGGACCCACAGGGTATGGGAGGAGCCCAGCATGAGGTATGGCCAAGAATTCCTTGCAATACTGGAGCAGTGGTGTATGCAGGAGAGCACAGCCAAGGTGAAGGAGCAGGAGTAAAGGATAGGACTGTCCTTTCTACAGCCGGCTGTAGGAGGAGCCTGAATGTAAGCATGAGCCTTTCTGAGTGGATGAGCTTAAGGGCAGGCTCAGGTAGGATTGGGCACTGAACGTGCCTGGACAGGGGGCACTGAGACAAGCGAAGCCTGCATTTTCAATTCCCAGGCTGACTTGTTCAAAAGGACTACATGTGCTCTTAAAGCTACCTAAACACATGTGGAATTTCACAACCAACATTCAAGTGCCCAGTAGGCCACAGGTCTTGGCCTTCAGTCTAGGTACAGGAGTTGAGAAAACAGTATTGACCCACCCAGAGTCTGGACATGACCTGCAGGCACCGGGATCAGGAAAGTCAGGGTGATGTAGCTGGGGTTAATCTGGGGGCCAAGATTTGGGAGGTGTGTGGGGATGCGGGTCCAAGAGAGGGGCAAAGAAGCCCAAGGTCAGGGGAATGAGGGTGTCCGAGATCAAATTGAGGGGTGTGGGTAGGGGTCAGGATAGGGGCTAAGGGCTGGGACCGGGTCATGAGTCCAGGGTCAAGCCGGGATGGGATGTTGGGGGGGGATTCAGAATCAAGTGTCTGGGGAAGAGGCCCGGGGTCAGTGGTGGTCTAGTCAGGCGGGGATCGGGAGTGAAGGTCGGGGGTGCGGGTCAGGGTCAGTCGGGGAAGTCCAAGATCCAGTGGAGGGTGCGGGCCGAGGGCATCGGGGCGTCGAACCCCCTCCCGGCCCGCACTCACCCGAGGCGAAGAGCCGCAGCGCTGGGCAGCGGGCAGGAAGCTGCAGCTGGCTGCGGACACCCAGCAGTAAGGCGCGGAGGGAGGCCATGGCGCCGAAACTACCAGCTCCGCCCGCGAGCCGCTGGGCCCTGAGAGGCCAGCCGGAAGCGGAAGAGGCCGCGCCAGGCCGGGGCGGGGCGAGCCGAGGCCCCGCCCCGTGGCCACCCGACGCGGGTCCTGAGGCGCGGGCGCCTGCTCTGCCCTCCGCTGCGCTGGGCGGGTCCTGGCTGCAGCCGCGGTCGGCCTAGCGGAGGGAGGCGGTGCGCTCGCCAGGCTCCGGGCCGCCCAGGCCCTCCCACTGTTCCCGCCCCGGAGGCCCTCGGTCCTGCGGTCGCGCAGCGCCCTGGTGGCGCCGGGCGGCTGCACGTCACCGGGGCTCGGCGACTGCCGCAGCGAGACGCCCCAGGGTAGGTCCAGACCCAGCAGGCTCGCTCGCGGCGCGGAACAAGACCAGGACCCAGACAGGATTTAAGTGAATTTAAAATTAATGTGATTTTTATTAATTTCAATAATTCTGAATTATAGCTTTTAACTATTTAGACAAGTATGAATGGGCCTTCATTTGTATTTGTTTTTTTTTTTTTTTTTGTTCCCGAGGACTGAACTCGGGGGCACCACTGAGGCACATCTCTAGCGGTTTTTTTAAGTGCTGATGAACCTTTATTTTATTCATTTATTTATATGCGGTGCTGAGAATTGAACCCGGTGCCTCATGTGTGAGGCAAGCGCTCTACCACTGAGCCACAACCCCAGTAACCCTGCCCCCACGGTCCTTTTTTTGTGTCTTATTTAGAGACAGGGTTTCACTGAGTTTCTTAGGGCCTCGATGATAAGTTGCAGAGGCTTTGAACTCGAGATTCTCCGGCCTTACCCTCCTGAGCTGCTGGGAATTCAGACCAGTGCCATTCCGCCTGGCCCTTTCCTCTGATTCTTGCATAGATTCTGCAAATGCTAGGGTGAAGAAAAGACATCACCTTCAGATCACTTTTCAGAAAAGCAAGACTGATATTTTCAAGAAAATAATTCTATTCAATTATTTTGAAATGAATTTAAAAATTAAAGAATTTTGAATCTTCTTCTGAGGTAAAATTTAAAATCTTCATATTAACGGAAACCAATCACCCACATACTTTTACTAAGGGTTAGTAAATGTTAAACCATGTGACAGACCCAAAATGAAATGACTCAAACATTGAAGAAGTTTTTCTAACAACCTAGGGCTGGTGTTGAGGGCAGGGCCACTGTCTTTTGTAAGGGAATTTAGGGACAAGAGCACAAATAGTAAAAGGGAAATATAAATTGGATTTAAGTAAAGCTAAAACCTTTTTTGTTTCAAAAGATAAGATAGTGAAAGACTCCCATAGAATGAGAGAAACATTTTACAAGTTTTATACCTGGTAAAAGTCTTGTGTCTAGAATGTGTAATGAACTCTCAAACCCAGTAATGAAAGAATACCCAACTAAAAAGGACAAAGTATTGAACAGATATTTCTCCAATAAAGACACAAAAGTGTCTGAAAAGCCCACGAAAAGATGCTCAACATCATTTGTCACAGGTATGGTACAAGCCAAATGCTTTCACATCTATTGGGCTGGCTATAATAAAGAGATGACAATGCCCGATGAGGGAAGATATGGAGAAGACAGAGCCCTCTACTGGCGAGTGGAAGGGTGCAGTCACTTGCTCCTCTTTTTGCAGTGGTGGGAATGGAACCCAAGGCCTTGCACAAGCCTGGCAGGCCTCAACCACTGAGCCACACCCCCAGTGCCAAGCACAGCCACTTTGGAAAGCAGTCTGGTATTAAACATCAGTCGGGCGTGGTGGCGCATGCCTGTAATCCAGCAGAGGCTGAGTCAGGAGAATCACAAGTTCAAAACCAGCCTCAGCAATGGTGAGGTGCTAAACAACTTAGTGATACCTTGTCTCTAAATAAAACACACACAAAAATAGGGCTGGTACCCCCCCCCCCCAAAAAAAAAAAAAAAAAAGGTTAAATAGCAAACCCAACCCCAGGTACAAGCATAAGAGGAGTGAAGACATGGCCACATGAGAGTATATAAGTGAACATTCATAGCTGCACTACTCATAATGGCCAAAAAGTGGAACAATCCAAATGCCCACCAATTCATGAATGTTTTGTACAATTGACACATTAAAATATACTAGAAGATACCCTGGGGGCCAAGGGTGCAGTTGAATCATAGAATACTTGTCCAGTATCCACAAGACCCTGTGTTGGATCCCCCGCCCCCGCAAATATACACTGGAATACTGGGGATAAAAAGGAATGAAGTACTAATACACACCACAATGTGGGTGGACCTTGAAAGCATGTCAGTAAAAGAAGCCAGACAGGAAGACCTGATGTATGATCCTGCTTATGTGAAACATCCAGAACAAACAAAGCATACAGGAAGTAATTAGCGGTTGCAAGGGGCTGGTGGGAGTAGGCAATGGGAGTAACTGCTAATGATGGGAGTATTCTCTTTTATGGTGATGGGGACATTCTAAACTTGATCATGGTCAGAGCTGCACAACTCCACACTGAAAATCATTGAACTGTATACTTGAATGGGCAAAGAATATGGCACATGAATTCTATGTCCATAAAACTATTTTTTTGAAATGAAACAAACCTGATTTGGTTAAGCCGTCCGGGTAGTGTCACCCGTGAAGCCATCACCAAGGCCCTCAGTGTCAGGAGAAGCACTGACTTTGTCCCCATTGGTTGACACAAGGTGAACTTGTGTGCTATAGCTGGTGGCCTAGACCAGCAGGATGCAGATTGGTGAGCTTTCTATTTCAGAGGATGTGGGGCTGGGTGAATGACCAAGGTGCAGGTCACAGTGCCTAGAGGATAAGAAGAACATTGCTCATCCCCACCCTGCACCTCTTGGGGTCCATGGTGGTCTCATCCCCTGCATTGGAGTTGGTGTCCTCTCCATAGCCATAAGGGCACCTGTTCCAGGCCAGGTGCCCTTTCTCCTATCACCCTCACCCCATCAGGTCTCCAGCCTAGGTGTGGGGTGTATGGAAGTGGGACAGGGGGTTTCTACCCTTAGGCTGCTGTGAGGTTAACCAGAAGTGTTCCCAGGCAAGTGGTCCTTGTCTTCATGCTGCAGCTTCATGACTGACAGAGGAGTCTAGCGACTGAGCCAGAAATAAATTTGAACACTTCAGGTCATTCATGGCTGGATTCTTACTAGGAGGGTATGCCAGGAGGCTGGCCCCAAGACCAGGGGTGGTCAGAGCAGAATCTAGACTTTTGGTGGGGAGGTTGAGATCCTTTATCATTCTGATCTTTAACCAGAGAAGGGCTGGCCAGGATGATGGACTGGGCTGAGAGGTATAAATTTGCTGATTTGACATTGAGGGGCTGCCTCAAGGGGAGGTGATGCGAGGCACCAGGGGACTGAGCATCACTTATTCTTTGACTACTGCCCATTACAGATTGGCTTCCAACAAAGGCTGGCCAGTGGCAGACTGGATAGGGTCCAGAAAGCTGGAAACATGAGACAGGCATTATAGAATGGGACAAGGACTTTGCAACCCTGAAAACATGGCAGCAGCCATGAAGCACTACCACAGACCCCAGGGTGGGCCAAAGATCTGATGTGGCCATCTGCCTGGAGCCATGAGACCAACACTAGTGTAGGACACACAGGAGTCCAACATGGCACACACAGTGTCCATACAGAGGGTGGGGAGCTGGGCCATGCTGCCTAACTTGCAGCTCAATTTCAGAAAGTCAGTTAGGGAATCAGCCCTCACTTTGGGCATATGCATGCGACCTAAGGCTTTTGCCAATTTGGATTTTATTCTGCTAAGGACAGAGGTTGGGCACTGGGTGTTCTGAACCATAGCAACACATGAGACCATTGGGTTTCAGCTCAGCTGGATCTTCAGCTCCCAGCTCAAGCCTGTAGACAACCTGTGTGTGGAGGGAGGTAGAGCTAGTGCTTTGCTTCAGACAGCATTGGGTTGGGGAGAGGACCAAGTCCCCTCTAAGGGAGATCAACCCTACCTAGGAGAAACAAGTGACACTAGAGCTACAGTGGTTACACCCCAAACAGTCTTCTTCTCCTCCTTCTTTCAGTACTGCGGATTAAACCCAGGGACGCACATGTGCTAGAAAAGTGCCATACCACTCAGCTGTATCCTCAGCACTTTTTATGTTTTTGCTCTTTTTATGTTAAATTGCCCAGGCTGGCCTTGCACTTGCAATCTTCTTGCCTCAGCCTTTGGAGTAGCTTCCATTACAGATGTGTGTCACCAGCCCAGCTTGTCTTCTGCTTCTAGTGGCCATTGGCTCTCTCCTTGTCAGTCTTCCCCAGGTAAAGCAAGGATGTGTCTTAAAAGGGGTGTGTGGGGTATGTCTGTACCTGCAGTTGGGAGGCAACTTTGCTGACCTGGGACCTGTCCCAGGGCTACTGTAGAATCTTAGCTACTTTTAAGAGAGTCTCTGGCACATCCTGGCACTGGGTGAATCTGGTGAACAGTACACACTGTTCCCACTGCAAATATCATTGGTTCATTAAGTAGTTGAACTTCCAAGTTTAACTCCCAAGTCAGTCCCAGGGGTTGGGGTTGTGGCTCAGTGGTAGAGCACTTGCCTAGCACATGTGAGGCACTGGGTTTGATTCCCAGCACCACAAACAAAAATAAAATAAAGATATTGTGCACCTAAAATATTGAAAAAAAATCAGCCCCATACCCATCCTAGTTCCTCTTCCTCCCTGCCATCTATGTGCAAACCCTTCAGTTCATTCCAGGTCCCTGTAGGACTGCAGAGGCTTCAGGGGTTGGGAGCAAGCTTTGGCCCTGCCCCAAGTCATAGGGTGGAGAGGAGGGGAGGTGGGCTGGGAGTGAGGGGGCAGTGGAAAACAGCTGACCTTTGAACAAGGGAATTGGTAGGGGCCTGACCCATCTCATAGTCAAAAATCCACATGTAACTTTTGACTTCCTCAAACTGAACTAATAATAATCTGCTTCTGATAGAAAACATTGCAGCCAATTAACCCATATTATATATTGTATATATTATATATGATGAAAGCATACAAGAAGCATACTTGAGATGGCTTTTTACTGGGATAGGAAATTTAC